TGATAGTATGTCAACCGTCCGTTCGCCATGTATTTACAGCAGCAAACCCGAGTTTCGTCGCGATTCATAACCGATTTCAAAGGAACCGAACGCAGTTCATTCTGTGAAATAAAGCAATCAACGGCGAAATTATTGCCACGTTTGAGTAATGAAGCAAAAAACAAATGACCGCACTTGACAGAAAGGGAAGCATTGTTCCACTGAAGGCTACCTCGAGAAGTTCGCCAATTTTCCCTAAAAACTGAATACCGGACCTATTGAAAAACGTTGCCAGGAGACCGCGGTCGAGCTAAAACTCTAAGACTCTTTTTTTAAAAGAAGAAGATTTTATACTTCAGTAAAATATTTTTTCGCAAGTTGTTGATGCGTTGTTTGTGTTGCACTTCTACGAATATTCTCGTATATTTTTATTTATTTATTGGGAGAGAATGAATTCTTATCGCATCAAGAGAAGAATGTTTGAAAGTTGATAGTCCACAGAAAACTTCAAACAAAAACAAATTTATTGCTCTATATTTACAATTTTTGAAAAGACAAGGTAAGGTCACGGTCGTCAATGGAATGTGCGTCAACACTTTTAGCTTTGCATCTGCATATATAGATTACATGTAATAAGTAAAGAACCCGATATTTTTCCTTTTTTTTTGGCTTTTGGAAGCAGAGATTTTCTCGGCGTAGGTTGTACCGTCGACGCATCTTTCAACTGATGTAACCCTTTTTTGCCGCCTACTTGCGTGCAAGTGTTTGCAATTTGAGATCGAACATTGCACAGACGAATACACGGACAGACGAGGATTTAAGAAGTCAATTAAGAATTCGATGTCGATCAAACCTACATATGCTTTATGCGCCTATAGCTTCCCTTTGGGAGAAATAAACGAGTGATTTACTTGCATACTCGGAGCCAAATGAGCATAAAGCTATGGAAAAATTTGGCAATAGAATGCGTAAAGATACGATAGCGATTCTGTGAAGCCCATCGGCGCGCACTGTAAACAGAAAAGGAATCGCAACTGATAAAAACCTAATAATTTTTATTACATTAAATATTAAATTCAGGCCGATCATGACTTCTATCTAATTGCTTATTATATTTTTTTGAAACTCTTATCATAACCATGTTGCCGGTCCTACAGATTGACGTACATGCATTAGCTTTCGGTATAGAGCAGGAGTAATTCTAATAGTTTCTTGGATTATTTTATGAACAGATTGTAAAATATATATATGTAACGAGAAACTACTTTCACTTGAAGAATTTGTGACATATGCTGGCGGGAGGTAACAAAATTGTTTGTTCTTTAATTTTAGAAGGAAAATTGAGAGCTGTGCATGTCTTAAGTGCTGTCGATGAACAAACTAGAAAAGATCGTGCACTTGACTTGTCTGACTTGATTGTAGCATAAGCCAAGTGCTCTAATTGCAGACAATGCAACCAAAGCTTTCGCGTTCAGCATGGATCAGAAGCGTCCTCGTATAAAGTTACGCAACAATCATTCGTTTCTGTTTAATGCCATCAAAGGTTACTTATACCGTAAAGGGAGAAAGACAAAGACAGAGAGAGAGAAAGAGTGAGAGAGAAAGAGAGAGAAATAGAGTAGCTTAATGACGTTACTTACATGTTCTTTAATTTCGCAAAATCTGCATTCACGCTTGAAACACATGCGAACTATTTCTCGAGCCACAAGAGCGAAGTAAAGCGTGCACTAATCATCGTGGTTAGTTAGACTTGAACGTAACAAACTTAAAAATCTTTTCTCAAGTTACTTTCGTACAAGTTACTTCAATACAATTCAGAATATCAAAATATCGTGAATTGTTATGGTAAGAGAAGCACCTTAATGCACATTATCTCATTTTTTGATTACCTCAAGTTTTTTCTCACAAAAGATTTCTTCTTATTTGTAATTAGTAATGCATATGTTTTAACGTCGCTAATACGCTTACTATTCAATAAGATTTTAATGATTGACGTAGAAAATCCAGTGAAGTCAGCTCAACGATAAAACTGTAATAGTAAACATATATAATATATGTATTTATAACATGTCTTTGAGCGAACAAATAATACATACGTGTTTGAAGTGAATTCATAAGTACTTACATCTAACGCATACACACAAATATGATAATACGTATGTATAGAGTTTTGTTGAAACATAGTTTCATCGTTACAATATCAGCAGGAAATGCAATTGAATACAGTTATATATAAAGATAGTTTTTCGTAAAACTACTCAAATGATTCTAAATGAGATTTAGTTCAAAAGTCCTTAATTTACTATAAACATAAATGAATATATACACATACATACCTATATAATAAGTTAGTTATACAATCTTTACGCATATTATGGAAAATTAGTATTGCAAGAAACATTAGTTTCGTTTTTGTAACTGTAACAAGTGCACTCCGCTCTGTTCTTCTCTTCTGTGTAGAGCACTTGAGACTTGAGTATTTAAATTCGGGCAAGCATGTGTCTAAATGCATCTAAATGAGTAGATTTTTTCTTTCTAGTCTGATTATTACTTATATACTCTTTGATTACCCTATCACTGGCAGGCATATTAATTTGAGTAGGTGACATGTAACGCCACAAGAATATTTCATGTATATCTCAACAGCCTTCGGGTTTGTCAACTATGTATTACTTTAACTTAACGAATCAGCCGTCAATCTAATATTTTAATATATTTCTATAAATTAGTAACTTGTACTTGCTACAAATTGCCTTAAACAGGGTTTACACTGATACTGATTTTAGGGATGTCATTGAATATAACGGATGTTTACGCAAATAATTCCAATCACATAAATAATTCCAGATCCATTTTACTTTGCGAGGTTTATAAAATATCACGAAAATTTAATAAAAATTATATTTAATATACAAGCAGAAAAAAATTATGCTACCAATAATGTCAACATATCAACTTCCAATACCTATTTGAGGCAAATACAGACAACTAACTTTGACCCTACTTCACCCTGTCTTCACTTTTGCATGGCTTTGGGCTCTTTTTTGTACAATATGCGACGAATGCTTGATTTTTTTGCCTGTTTTCAGCTAAAATCGGGCGTATGCTCGAAATTACTAATGTGAACGCTGCGTAAACGAACTTCATACCCCGTTAAAGACAGGCGGGGAGTGTATGTAGGTTTCATGAGCGGGACTTGTATTCATGCTTCATATAAGGGCGATGAAAACTGTTGCTTTCTGAATACAGGCTATCTCGTAGAAGAAAAATATTTTATTAATAATATATTAGGTGTGCAAATATGTTCGTTCCGCTGAAATTGATTGCTTCGTAAAACGTACCCATCGCGTTCAATTTTCCCGGAATCGCAGTTATAGATAACTTGGCTATTGATGTTCGAACCGTGCCGGTTTCACTTTTTTGTTCGGATGTTGTTCAGTGTATGCCGCAGTTTAAAGAGATGGATGGCACAGCGTTTTTCTCGGGTTTTTATTGCATTAATCGAAGAAGACATGCAACCGAAGCTACGGAAATGATTGCGTTGGCTGGAAATGCAACTGCGATAAGCTACGAAATGGAGTAAGTTAGAAAGTGTTTGGCTACTTTTTAGTCATGAAGACGTGATGAAAATTCGCATACGTCCGTCCGTCTTTCGCAAAAATAACCAAGAAGATAAATTTCAGTTTAGGCTGGGAGATTTTACAGCACCCGCTATATTATCATATATAGCAGATCAGCGGTTCATTGAAATTTGAAGATGTGCGAAAATGCGTCGACGGCTATTTCGCCTCCAAATCCGCAATGGATATACCATTAGCAACTCGAAAAATGGCAAAAGACAATGGTGCACAATTCGATTATTGAGCTTTGCAACAAGTGTATGTTAAATATGTCTGAGTTTTATCAAAAAACAACAGGACTTTATATATTTTTCAATACATAGTCACTTTATGGTACTAACGATGTTATTATACGCAAACAGAAAGAGTCTGAAGCGAGAGGTGTGATTTCAGATTTTCAGATTATGTCAAAACACATGAAGCGCACCATGTCGCCATTTGCATTTTTATTTCTACCCATATTTTGCACAATACACTGAACACTGATTCCAAATTGTTCAAATTAAAGTTACATTAAATACAGACGTTTTTAGACGTTGTTTATTCGTGTTGAGGCGTTTCTTCCTTTTCGGTGCTAGCCTTCATGGTTTCCTATCGTTGCACTAGAAAGCTTACTGATGTGGTGTTGTTTGAGAATAAGAACAAAGAACCAAATTATGATTTGAACAATCAAACAAACAAGCAAAGAGGGTAAATCAATAAAAAAATCACATACTGATCTCGCACAAATTTATGAATTCATTGGAGCGTATTTGGGGTTTTACAAGATGCTTGACAAAAAAAAAAAAGAAAGAAAATAGCCTTTGGGAAGCAACTGTGAACATCAATTATATTTCCATGTCGGCAGAATATGTTTTGCAATGTTTGACTAGAAGCAGCCTCCCTCTCAGAATAATGTAAAAAACATTATTGTTGCCGGCATTACTGAAGCGAATTTGAAAACATTCCGACTGCTATTTGGGGATAATGAAAAGAATGCAAGGAGGGAAGGCTTGCTTATAAAAGGCAAAAAGTACAAGATTAATAATTGTTAAATCTCCGACAGTGTGTGCATGTGTAAAGCCTGTCTACTGTCTATTTTCTCCTCTTTTTTTTTTTTTTTTTTTTTTTTTTTTTTTTTACCTCCTCTACTCCTCTCCGCAATTGCCTGAAAAGGCATTTACCAATTTTTCCATGTCAAAACGTCAATTGTTTTAAAAGCTGAAAAATAGAATTTTATCTCTCTAGCCTCTCTATGCTTAGTAAGGTACAACGTGTACTAGACATTAAACTATAGGAAAAAATATGTTGCTCTTGTTTCTGTTATAATTTTACTACGAAACTTACATTTATGATTCAAGCTAAACTCCTACGAAGTTTCGTTCTTGTTTTTACGTGTTCCTGCGTTTCTTATATTTGCAGATAACAATTTCATTTGTGATTGTCGCCTGCAGTGGCTGTATGAATTGAAAAATCGTACGCGTCACCAGCAATTGCGTGACTCTCTGGAAGAGTTTGTGTGCACTCTGCAAGAACCGCATCTCTACAATTTCATTGAGCCGGTACCGACGCATATATTGGATCTGTTAAATATAGGTGGTCTGGGCGGCTTGAGCGGTATCAGTAGTGATAAATTTGTGATGAATGTGGCCAATAATAGGAAACGAATGTCGAAAACACGTCCACTTTTAAGCAATCAAAGACGTAACACAAACAATCAAGTTGATGGACAAATGCAATTAACAGATGATCATTTGGAAGGGCACAAGCATGCAGTCAGTTTGAAACGGAAGCGTGCTCTTAGTTCGGTGTCACAATATCAAGGTGTCGGCTTGGACGCAAGTAGCAGTACAAGCAGCAGCAGCAGCAGCAGC